TAAAAATTAGAAGAAAAACAAATACATAATTACCAAGAGTTGATTTGTAAGGATACGATTTATTTTTCGAGTTTGGCCACAGGTTCGAACCCCAGTGGGTGCGTACTGCCAATGATTCCCGAACTAGGCTGAAACAGCTGTCCAATGTTCTCTGGATTTCAATGGTTCACTAAATGATATCAATCCGTAGTCAGACTAGAGAAAAAAAATACAGAATTATGTAATAAGTGAGAAATTGTTAACTGTGAAATCCGAGATTATTCACTATTTCTTTCTGTACACGATCTTTATTCCAAACATAGAAACTTCTTGAACTTGAACCAATTTCTTTAATTTCTTTAAACAAGATGATGTACCTGCTGGGAAGCCAATTTATTCAAAATGAACAAGTCAAAGGATAGGAATTTCATCGGTTGACATATACTAACCTTAGAAGACGTCAGGAGTAATATAAAGATGCATATTAGCCGCTACTTAAAATATCCTTGTGTCTTGTTTTCCTGTGACGTAATCATAGGTCACTATAAAGCAGTATTTTGTTTGTATTTGTTAAGTTGATATATTATTTCATCGGCTTCATAGATGTAAAAACATGGAGGAGAGTGGTGGATCCGTCCTTAATATCTGTCCTGAGAATATCTTTAATAACATTTCCATCACTTTGACTGCTGAGGTATGCAGCCATTCCAATTCGTTTCTATAAACTATGAGCTTGTGTAGACTAGACCTGTTATATCATTTCATACTTAACGTGTATGAAAGCTTTTATTGTAAGCGTTCAGAATGCTTGCCTAGCAAACATATACCTTCTGCTTAATTTATGTCTATCGGATGCAGTTTTATCTATGTTAGTTATAAAGATTCAATCAAAAAGAAACTTTACACCTTGGTTCCGTGCTTGTTGTTCGTCATTCGGATCATATATAGCATGAATATCTAAGTGGTGAAGGCATTGATTTTAACATTGAGAGATGTAGCTTCAAATTTCTTAAAAGAATGAATATTCTAAGAAGCTGAGAATAAAATATGTAACTAAAGCAAATTCCATATTGAAGGCCTAAACAGTTGAGAAGAAATCAGTTTTTATTTACCTATCGCACAAAGAGGAAAAAGCATCAACAAGAATAGAAAAAAGAATCAAGGATGCATTGAAAAGGACATTTCCCACAGCTAAGTTGATGCTTCTTTGTAACACAAAATCTTCATTAATACACTCTGAAGTAGATAAGTATCCTGTTCATGTCAACTCTAACTGTATTTACCAATCTACATGCTCTTGTGTTAGCAAGTACTTAGGAAGGACTGTGAAGACAGCATCTACTGGATATATTCAGCATATCGCCAGCAGTCTTTATATGAAGAGTCAGAAATTGTATGGAAGTGTTGAACTGCTAAGCTGCTGATGGACATAGGACTTTCAGTCGAAACCAGTCAAGTTTTCGAAATGATCAATATTCGAGGAAAACCGTGGCTACTTCCTTTCGAAAGATTTCAAACTAATCTCGGTATTCAGATAGTGTGTTTGATCTTGCGCTACCCTAGTAACTAGATGTCACTATGTTTTTTGTTGCTTCACAGACTTTCGATTACAGCTCACTGGGCTGAACTCATTATTAATCTTCCGATTTATTTAATTGTTTACTTACGTACTAATTCCACTTTTATTTGCTGATTCTTTTCACTACTAATCCCTCATCATGAGCGTTACATCACATTATGTATTGGTAAACTCTGGTTGTTAGATTTTCAACTATCTTGAATTCATGTCTTTAGTCCCACAAATATGCCCTGGTTGTATGAAATTACGAGAATGTGCCTTCTACTTTTGAAATAATATAAACCAGTGAAGTGCTTCTAGTTTTCAACCTATGTACTGTTAAATCTGAGATGTTGTTTTGACTGATTTTGAGGAAGATCACAAACTAACATCGGTTGGAGTACCATTCAAAAGTAAGGATTATTAGACACTTGTTTCACCCTTGTTTAGGACTCTTAAGTAGCACATAACCATGACCCCACTGGGGATCAGACGCAGGACCTTCAGGTTACAAGATGGCTCAGTTGATCATTCAGTCATAGAGACGGAATCCGATGTCTCATGAATCCCAACCTCTGCTAATTTGTGATTTATAGCACCAGCGCTAGCCAATGTCATCGACGAGTATTTTTCCTTACACCCAACTTGTTGGACTTTACTGACCACAGATTCTTACTAGAACTCTAGGTGACTTTATTCCGTAGTCAACCATTAATGAATAGTGGATCAGTTTTCAAGTATTTCTTTGTAGGCATTTGATTGGTTTCAAGTTAACATTATGCATCACTAGTGATTACACTTATCCAGAACTCCACAATGGATGGAATAATTTCTGGTTAAACTTGTACGAGTGAAGTTTTCTTTAGAGGTTAACTTTGTCTGTTAACTGTGCAATCATTACAAAAAGTTTATTTCCATTATGTATAGTTTCAGATGAAAAACACGTGGTGATAGTCACAATAACAATGATAATAATAATAATTTAAGATTAAATGCTCTTTCTTTACCAACTATTCATTCGTTGGCTAAATTATCTGTTAACTCTCTTAAACGTGACTGCTTATGAGTTTACAGCTAATATGCTGTAATGGTTATTTTGTCTTATTTTGTGGAAATCAAAATTTTCTCGACTGATCTTTTGACTTTTGGTACTATGAGATAATAATACTAACCTGCTTACTGTTTATTTTCACTGGATTAGTGTACGAGCTTCCCTTGTAAGCGGAAGGTCCGGGGTTCGAACCCCAGTGGTGCGTGCGTACTGATAAAGAGTCCCGAACTAGGCTGACGAAACAGCTGTCCAGTACTTGCAGGTTTTTCCAGTGGTTCTCTAAGTGACATGTAAGCTCATGATGAAATCCTCCATGTAATCAAACAAAATCCCTACAAAACCTATACTTGAAAATTATATATATATATATATATATGTATATAGTTGACAAGATTGAGTAGGACTCACCTAAAATTTAAAACGTTAGGATTAATGAAAATTAAGTCGATTTGAGATTATTAATTTTAAGTTTGAGACCTAAGTATTTTATTTTCCAATAATATGAAGAAATATTAACAAACGGTTCTAAAGAATTCAATATTATTCCAAGTATTGCAGTCGTCACGGTAACATCATTTTATACCTCATTATCGAAATATTCTGTCCAACAATAGTCGTCTTTGATATAAAATCGATTTTTATGTTTCATAGTTGTTTTTGCTGCTTCTAATTCACTTTTTACTAGTTACTTATTTATTGTGAAGTTGATTAGTTACGAAACGAGTTTAAATTGAACATTTAATAATAATAGAGGAATTTAGTTTATTACTTTTAAACTTCTTCCGATTTAGTGAGTCTGGTCAAAATATGGATCTATGGTAATTCAGTGAGACATATATGTCTCAAGTCAGTCTTAGGAATGTATTTTGTTACTGTCTGAATTTCTGGTATTATACTTCTGTACTCTATAAATGATGTTCTACTTGATTTTGTCTCAATGTGTGCAGAGGCGGAAAGTCTATACAATTTAACGTAATTGCGGCTCCTATATTTCAATGACATCATCTAATCTTGTGCGAACCGTTGTTTTTGCTTTATTCAAATTAGTAAAGGGAAATAAATTTATGAAGTTTCTGAAAATGCTGATCCTTAAATAGCCTTCCAAATCACTGAATTCCTTTAATGAGAATTCGTTGCAGAATATACAAATAAGTACCTCTTAACTTCAAAAGAGGTACTTATTTTACGATGAAAACTTGAAGTTGCACTGCTTTCTTCCTAAATCATTAAGTCATTACCTCCATGCAAACTACGATAATCTCCCTACAAACCCTCAGCGTATCAGTAAATTCCATAAAATCTAGTTCTTCTGATTATAAAGTCAGTAGTTTGATTCTGGTATGCTGAGTCAAATTCATAAATTTTGTTCAGGATATTCAGCGACAACATATATAGATCTGTGCTGTATTGTATCGAAGTCCCTGGCGGTCTGTTTAAATTAGGGCTACCGAAAAATCCCATCGATAATTCATAGATATTTTCTCCCGTTCCATTTTGTTTAAATCTGATAAAATATGACCTTTAATTACATTTTACACTCTGGCGAGTATTTGATATGCTTAAAACTTACCGATTCGCAAGTTTCTAGTTATCGTGAGAAAAAAAAACATAATCGTCGGTTAGGGTGTATTGCAATCCAGAAGAGATAGCTGTTCTTGGGTTGTGTCCTTGGTTCACAGTTTGGATTCCTGAGAATTTTCTAATTACCATTCAACCAAATTACATGCATTTACCGAAGAAGAAGATGGATTAGTCATACTCTTAGGATGCCATCAAGTGACATCACTAGACAAGACATTGCTCGAGTGGAACCCGAAAGGGAAGCGGCGAGTTGGTCGTCAGTGCAAGGGTGACTTGGAGGAGGTCATGTGAAGAGGAGATGAAAACGTGTGGGCAGACATGGAGCCAGGTGAAGACTTTAGCAGCGAACAGAACGCAATGGAGACGCACGGCTGAAGCCCTATGTTCCTGTAGGAATTAAAGGATACAATAATAATAATAATAATAATACCGAAGAAGACAAATGAGAAACATCATAAGTTTTTGGTATGCGCTTCAGGCAGAAGTGTTTCATATGGTCTGCCATCACATAATCTTTTATTTGAAGATCCTGGATAAAGAGGAAATATCATGTAAGAGACTATGCTGAAAATTTTGTACAATATATAAACACTGTACAAAATAAAGCTATTATTGTTATTATTGATAAAGGAAAAGTTGTATGACAATTTCCCCTTGAAATTCTTAGAATCATGTCCTCTTTTGTTCAATTTCACATTATCCAGGAAAAATAAGTTATGGATATCGAATGATAGTTCGATTTCTGTTATTTTTATATATTGTATTTCAATAACAACACGTATTTCACAGTTGGGTTTTTTTGTTTGTTTAAAATTCCTATTTCACTTTTAGGTGACATTTGGATGTTACATGGCTCGTAGTTATATGGCATTAAATCAGTTAGGTGTAACATGTTTTACAGGTATGTCATATGTTGTCAGAAAATCAATGTTGGATGAAGTTGGTGGTCTTGCGTATTTTGGAAAGTATTTGGCTGAAGATTACTTCCTTAGTTCTGCATTATGTCAAAAGTGAGTAGTTGTACAATAATGATAGTTTTTGTTATAATTATTATTGTGTTAAATTAGTTGACTTTTAATTGACTTTTTCATATTCAGGGAGAATGTTCTTAATTGTTTTGTTTTGTTTACAGCTGGTTTCTTCTTACTAAAATTTAAAACTGGCTGAAGAAGTAAAACAGTGAAATGAAGATAGCACTGAATTCAATATAACCTCCTCTCTGATTTCTTTGTACTGAACATTTAATGTGTTATTGCTAAGGGATACGTTTATGTGCGTCGGTGGCACAGCGGCTAGGACCATACACATGATCCGCGGTTCGCTCCCCTGCCGGCGCATACCCGATATCAATGGTCAGCCTGCGAAATTGAGCTACCGATATCACATGCTGAAAATTCCATACTGGTACCAAAAATGCGGTGTGGAATCAAGCTATAATAAAAAAAATAACCATTACAATTTTAACTACATTGCTTTGCGTATTTTAACTATCACTAAGTCTTAACATGGCGTTGCTTTTTCTACTCATCGCTTAATAATAATTGTTCCCTTGGGTTCCTAGTGGAACATAGGGCTTCAACTGCACGTCTTCTGCTGTACTTTTCACTTGCATCCATGTTGGTCCATGCTGTTTCAACTCCTCTTCACACGATCTCCTCCATGTCACCCTTGGACGTCCCACTCGCCACTTCCCTTTCGTGTTCCACTCGAGCACTGGCCTGACGCGCGATGTCACCCAGCGGCCTCCTCAGCGAGTGTCCAATCCATCTCCACTTTCTACGGCATATCTGTTGGGTGATTGGTTCTTGTTTTGTTTGTTCCCATAGTTTCTTGTTGGTGATTCTTTCCGGCCATCTGATTTTGAGTATAGAACGAAGATAGCTGTTGATAAAGGTCTGCAACAGGCTGTTGGAAATATTCTTTGTGACCCGCCAAGTTTCTGAACCGTATAGAAGAACTGACTGACTTGACGTTTGTATTGAAAATCCGAATTTTGTTGTTGATGCTGAGTGACGAAGATTTCCAGATTGGTTTCAGGTTGATGAATGTGTTTCTCGCCTTCCCAGTTCTCGATTTGACATCTTCGTCCGTTCCTCCTGTAGTTGAGACAATGCTCTCTAGATAAGTGAATGAAATTATAGTAATAATAATAATAATAATGGCTTTATTCTGAGCACCATGTTCACTTTGGCTGAAACTACTCCTTATACAGAATCTCCAGCTAAAACGGCAATCTACAGTTTATCATTCTATGGAATTTTGTCCTATCTGCAATATGCTCCGATCCTTGGCGTATTTGTCTCCTCAAAACAGAACTAGCAGTATGTTGAAAGCCATTAGTACCATGTCAACAGATACATGTTTTAAAGAGTGATCACAAATTGACTCCAGCTAGAAAACCACTGAAAACTACAAAAGACTGGACTACTGTTTCGTCCCTGTTGCAGAATCTTCCCGCCATCCAACGACAAAGAAGTTAGAATTTATGGGTTATTGGATTCTATCTCAATAGCTGAATGGTATACTAGTTCGTCTGTTAACCTGAAGGTCCTGGGTTTGATCTCTCGTAAGGTCATGGATGAAACAGTTGTCTAGTACTCCCTGGTTTTTACTGGTTCTCTAATTGAAGTCACTTGATGATCAACCAGCACTTGAAGATAATTGTGTATGAGACCATCCTTCTCAGTAGATGTTCTAAAATAACTGCTAACAGTGACTAGATGTGAAAATACTAACTGCAGAGGACTAAATTGCTACTTCATTCTGAGGTATAATATAAACAGAAGTCAATTTTAAGTTTTAAACGGGGTCTTATAATAGGCTTTAGGAGTTTAAGAAAAACTATTAACGATTTGTTTTGTAACAAACATATTGGAGGAAAATACAACAATTATTGAATTTAGTTCTTACCGGCATGTGTTAGAGGAATAAAAAGAAAAATCAGTGTTCACCTCCGGTTGTATCTAGTTTTCTTTGGGGGACATTTTAAATAACTCAATAAAATAAGAATTGCAAATTCCAACATGTAAAAGTGCTTTTTCTGAGTTTTCGATTTCATCTGATTTTATTACATGTCAAACGATTTATTTGATTTGTTAATATTCTTTTACCTAGCAAAATGTGTAAATAACAAATCATGAGTTTTAAAAATAGGTTAATTTCTTCATGTAAACAGTAATTGAACTTCAAGTCACTCGAGATTGTTATAATGAGTGAATTTATGAAGCATCCTTGTAACTATGCTAAGTCTAGCGACGTAGGCCCGTGTGCATATTAGCAGTATAATTAGTGGTTTTTAGGTGCTGTGACTTTGAATTTTGCAATCTTAGAAAAAAAATATTTGAGGAATAAAAGTCAAAAAGCCGAATTCATTGGAATTGCCCTGCATCAGGTTTATATATATATATATTGAATGGAGAATGAGTTGAAGTGGACAACAAGTTGCCACGTAAAACAGTTAAATTCCCAGGTTCCTTAATGTCAGTATAATATATGTTATCTATTTTATGAAATGCTTTTTTATTTATGCATGTACACACCATCTAAATGGTATTCATTAAGCAGATTGGGCTAAGTAGAACTTGGACATTCGGTAGTATCACCCTGTTATCATTTGTAACCTGAGAGCGGATATACGAATATGTAGATGAATGATCTCCAACCTTATTAGATGGAAAGTAATTTTGGTTGTCTTTTTGCGGTACTGTTAGTTGATATGTTTCTATTCCTTGCGTTTCGAGGGGAATATAGGATTTCAAGCTTTGAACTCTGAATTTTTAGTAGCGGTGGTATTTTATTTTACAGGGTACAAAAGGCTCGTTTAGCATACGTCAACTTACGCCATCTCTGGCTTAATCGGCGTGATATCCGACTGCTTATTGATAAAAGGACACGTGTACTACACAGTAGTTCACTCTGTCCTTCCCTACAACTTTGAGATATAGCCATTGAATTTAGAAGACATGATGAAGTTAGCTGTCTTTGATCATAGGTGTCTGTCTTTTATGTCCCATGTTGCGTGGTATAATAATGTGAGTAATACTGAAGTTAGGCGCCGAGTGCTAAGTACGGAGGGGAAATCAATCAACTAAGTTGTGAAGTTGCATCGATTGAGATGGTAAAGCCATGTGTTACACATGCTTAGCCGAAGCCTTCCTCGATGGGCAGTGTTAGCTGATATATGATCAGGTTGGAAAAGAGCTAGTAGTGGTCAAACCAAAACATGGTATCAGTCAATGAAACCCACAGCAGTTGGTTTAAGCCATGTAGGAAGGTGTAAACTTCCTCGTTGGGGTCCTGCGGATGGTAAAAAATAACGGCTAGGTGATATGGCTCGAAATTCTCGTTGTTAGTGGCTGGCGCAGATTCATTCCCTCTTTGTGATTTATCATATTCAATTAAGTTCTATTGCTTTTCCATATTACTATTATTTTTCCCCCACACTTCTCTTCATTATCTATCTTTTCGACCTCCCTTTACTCTCTTCTCTTGTTTTGTGTGCTACATGGAGTGTGGCAACTCGAACTGCTGCACATTTGTGCAAAGTTCTAAATTGAAACTAGTCAGTCAGTCATCTTACAGGGTTAGGTTGTTAGCCTCAAGTCCAAGCTCCCTCTTTCTTGGGTTTACCACAAGATAGTCAATTGGGCAAGGTTTAGGAAGGCGGTAATCGGGAATCGAACCCATATGACTGATGAACATTCTGCCATTGATTCACAGACACCACTTTTAAGTGTGATTATCAAGGTTTTTCTGTGCATAACTTTATTTCGTTATGATTCACCCTAATAATTTCATGTTTCTATGAATATTAAGAGTTTCATTTGATTGTAACTTGCCTAATGTGTGTTAACAATGAGGGGAATCACTGTGAACTCTAAAATATCATCATACTGCGTTTAGTTATAACTACAAACTTGCAGTTTCATTTGACGTTTATAATCCTTGTATTTAAAAAAACAACATTTGAATGATGTTTCAAATACGATTATTTCAGTAATAATTATTATTCCCATGGTTTCCAAATAGTTTCCACGACAAATCTCCACTTTGTCCTGTTCCCTGAAGTACTCTTTAGCTAGCCCCACTACTGTCCATAGGCCTTCATCTACTCCTTACACGATTTTATCCATATCACCCTCGAACCGGTGCCCAATTCGTCGTTTCCTATTCAGCTTCCACTCAAGGTTTGGCCTGGCGTGATGTCACCTGACGGTCTCCTCAGCTTGTGTGTCCCATCCATTTCCATTTTCTTCTGAATATTTGTTGGGCAGTAAGTTCTCGACTGATTAATTCTTTCTAGCCATCTAATTTTGAATATGGAGCCCTCTGAAGACAACTGTTGATAAAAGTCTGCAGCAGGCTGTTGGAAATGTTCTTCGTGACGTACAAAGTTTATAACCCGTAAACATAACTACAACTGAACATCGTCGTTAGCTCACTTCTGTCACACAGTCTTCTTAAAGCCTAAGAGTTAACTGTTTACAATATAAGAATCTGAAAAAAAGAGTTTGTGTGTAATCATAAAAATTGACCAGTTTTCTGACACATATACAAACAGAATAAAAGAAACAAAAACTCTTTTTGAAAATGTACAGATATAATAGATAAAGGTATTCTCAAAATAAAGTTATTCCCCTTTGGAAAAACTACGCCCATATCTAATAATGCGTTTGTCTCTGGTAGAAATAATTCTGCATTAATTATTATTCAGTATTAGTGTACTGTTATATATTTTGATTCATTTTATCGATTGGTTTAATAAACACACCCAAGTATTGTTACAACAGGTTATCTCAAAATGACCATATCGAATTGGTTAACTTTCGAGAACTAACCTAATTCATAAACTGGCTGTATACAGTAGTAATAACAGCAGTTTTGTTTCTGAAAGTTTTTGTGGTAAATGAGTTATTAGATGGTTAGAGGCGATCGGTGGGAAGCCTTGAACCTAGGTTTCGTTCTATTTGGCACTTGTCATCAGGGCAAATCTGCGACTTTGAAGGAACTC